CGACTTGTACCCACTTTGCAAGGTCCACGGCGGCGCCGACGCACAACGCCAGCCAGTGGTCCAGAAGGAACCACAGCAGCGCACAACAGCAACCCATCGTGCTACTCCAGCTAGCACTTGAAAGTTCTCTCTAACAACGCGCTTGCACGCGCGCACTGACAACCGAAGTAACGTCTGTTGCTGTTAGGCGGAAGGCACGCGCCTACTCGGAAGGCACGCGTCCTTGCACCTTACCCCCACTCCAGCCCATGCTCAGTCTCTTGATTAAAACAACTCTATTCGTAGAGATAACGCTGTTATCCAAGTCATTCCTCAATATTACCATGTGATAGCTCTTCCATCGTACGTTTGTGTTATTACTGCAAGTTATTAATGTATAAGAATTTGTTTCAACAAACTGGCCTATTTGAATATACAGTCAAATATCGAATCTGAAGGTTGGTCCAATAATGTCCGACATATAGAAAAGTTTATTAAAACAATTATGGAAATATTTGTTAACATTGAAAATGCAAACATTAAAAAGCCGCCCTGTATGATTGAGGTCGCTAAGGCTGAAGGGCCGTGGCTGCCTCAGTTAGAAGGACCATAGGTTCGAATCCCTCCTCGGGCACGAATGTTTGTGTGTGTTCGTATTGTCCTCGCGTGTTTTTCCTGCAGTTTCCTCTACAGTTAAAACAATGACAGTGTTCTCTATATGACAGAGTTGTTTAAAAGCGACTTTAAAAAATGAAATAACTCACAACGTTTTAATCTTTCGTACCACGTATTTAAGAATATGAGCAAATAATTAGTATTGTTTTTCTATAAAATTAAGGGATTTTTGTTTCGACATTTCGAACACTCGTCATAAGCGCGTAACAGCAAACTGAACCTGCGTCAAACTGACGAACTAACATCTAGGGGCTTGGCCATAATAATCTAATTTAAACAGAGTGGCACTTTACGGTCACAACCTGAAAGGAGACGGAGACAGTCATCCAAACGGCAACATCTTTACGACTTAAATGTTTGATATAGGAGTTCCCTATCGGATGAAAATATCCCCTCTCTTTTCTGCTTGTGGCCGTGAAGTGCCACTGTGTTTAAATCGGAGTAAAGACGAAGCAGCACGCGGCTGAACATCAAATCGAAAACATATTCCCGTGACAAGCAAGTTCCACTCCTGTTACCTCTCCCCGTGGGGTTACCGCCACGAGGAACTGGACGTAGAAAGTGTATAAACATTATTATATTATTCAAACGTCAATATGGAAGTAAAAATTTTCGCAATAGTAATACTCTCCTTTCAAATTAAATAACACTTTTTTTAGAAATAACCCAGAAAAAAATTGTCAACTCACCAAACGAGTTGGATATATTTAGAAATAATTTTCGATGTATAGAAATGTTTTAAATGGAATTTTCAAGGTATATAAAATAATAGATTTATTGAGAACACCAGTGTACGAGGCGTTGTCTGACAATCAACTTCAAAGTCACTTGTGTAAAAGTCACTTGTTATGTTTAATTTCCGACCACATGTTTATTGGCAATAACTTATCATTGTCGGTCCCATTAACTGCACTATTGTTCGATTAATTTTTCTGTGTACTTGGCAGTTAGCGTGTGACTGAGGAGTGGGGTTTCCGTTATTCAATCACAGGCATCAAGTTCTTCTGACGTCATTGCAGTGTTGCCGATACTTTTATTAAGAAAAAAATAAATTTTACAAGGCGAAGCACCTGTAAATTCAAGTGCGCTATTACGTCTTTGGTTATACACCGTTTGTTCCGTTCTCTGTCTGTTGTGTGCTCTTATTGAGATTTGATTTCTATCTACTGTGGTGATCTGATGCAAGAACGACCACACGACCACGTGTCTGCCATCCGAGTAAGTGGCAACATCCATCTACCCCCACCCCAGCTGTCAAGTAGACACAAATATTATTCGGGCAATATAAGTGTGTTCCTCGTCATCCCAAGAGGAGGTTGTGAACCCAGGGAGTCATTCCTATGTGCCAGTGCGTGGACAGGTAGGCACAGGTGCAGGCAGAAATACGCCGCTTAACACCGCCGCCACTCGGACCAAGATTTTAGCGGTATATAACGCTAACTATAGACGTGCCTTTCGCATTATTACAGAACAAGAAGGCCCAAGATGCGGCTTATATCCCACTGTAGTGGGAGAGAACTTCTCGCTGCTTACCTTTTGTGGCAGCGCTCACAGAGATTGCTTCCAGACGGTATCAACGACCACCGGCAAAGGAGAACACCGTCACTCCCAAGGAAGTAGGTGAATGCCTTCAATCAGCATCTTACTCAGCCCCACCTTAACCAAACCATTAATTTTCACTGGAGGGGAGGGGGTAATTTGGTAGTGGTCACGTTTATTAATTTTTAATTGAGTTTTACGTAATAAAAAATGAAAAAATATCAGGGACAGTTAGCAAACATTTATCTATGCCAGTGCGTGGATAGGTAGGCACAGCCCCAAGAGAGGAAGGCAATCGTGTTGAAGATACTCATACAAGACCAGTCACACAAACAAATAACGCCAACCAGAGGCCAGCCAGTCTCCCGAGAGCGTCTCAGGTCTTCCCCACAGCCTCAACCAAATTCCGAGGTGCCTCGCGCTCTCCCGCGTGAAGAGCTACAGCCCACGAGCAGCCACCCACCCTTCATCCCTGAGCCGCTTCGTCCTTCGCCTCCCTCCCCCGACCTCGTGGGCAAACTTCACCCTGACCTCGAGGAATGAAGGAGCGTCATCGTCGAGGCGCAACAAGACCCTCGCACGGGAGTCAACTGGCTGCAAGACCAGGACTTAATGAACTAAGCAATCGCTAAGGTGCAGGCAGAAATACGCCGCTTAACGCCGCCGGCCACTCCGACCCAAATTTTAGTCGTAATATATACGCTAACCGTATAGACGTGGGCCTTTCGCAACTTATTACAAACATAGAAGGCCAAGATGCGGCTAGCATCCACTGTAGTGACTGAGAGAACTTCTCGCGCTTACCTTTATGTGCAGCGCGGCCTCACAGAGAGTTCCAGACGTATGAGAACGCAACCCACCGCAGGAGGACACCGTCAACTCCCAAAAAAGTAAGGTGATGCCTTCCAATCCCAAGCCACTCTTACTCCCCAGCCCCACTAAACCAAAACCAAATTAAGATTTTCACTGAGAGCGGAGGGGGTAATTTGGTAGTGGTCACGTTTATTAATTTTTAATTGAGTTTTACGTAATAAAAAAAAATTAAAAAATATCAAGGACAGTTAGCAAACATTTATCTAACAGGATAATACGAAATAATATAGGTTTAATTAATCGACGAAAGCTCTATTTTTATTATCCCTCTCTGCTCACTTTGGTTTGAAGAATGTACAATTCATGGATATCTCAATATTAATCAAAGTTTTTATTATAATGGTACTTTTTTCATTCAAAAGTAAAATATCAACCACGTAAAAAATATCGAACGCGACACGTTGATGTTAAAAGAAACACTAACATTTTAGCACTCATCCATACTAATCCTTTCTCCTTTGTCCTCTAATATCCACCTAATACTGATCTTTCTACCTTTCCCGCGTTCTTCCTTCCTCAAAAACCCGACACCTCTCTAGCTTGTCTTTCCATCTTCCTCTTTTTAAGCTATTACTTTTCTTTAGTTTTCAAAGCAATTAATTCAAACAGTATGAATAAAGGACGTTAGTAATTGTTCTTATTTCGAGATTGGACGTGAGTAATTGCTCTTTTTCTCCATTGGTAAGTAACTGCTCGGCCGTGGAGCAATTGCTTACTTGTCGTATGAATAAAATCGAGAATTTGCTTCTAGTGCGAAGCATTTACTTCGAATTTGCGTAGTGCCATCTGCTGGTGACTCAATTCGCATGGAATTGGAACATTTGGAATAGATAGAAGCGAAGTTATATGCGATTGTTGTGAGCTGATTCTGAGCTTTCGGGTAGTGTGTGAATGAGTCATGCAAGACTTCTTACGATTTCGCCAACAACGCACATCAACTATATCACTTAACACAAGGTCGAGCAGGAACAAATACACGTCGCACGCAAAGTAGACTGACAAAAGAGTCGAAAATCGACCAATCGCAACAGACCGGTTAGTGAGCAATTACTCGGAGAGGCCAAAAACTATCGTACGAAGCAATCATTCTTCGTTTTAGGCGCACGCTCTGCGCTTACACACAAGTATGCACCCGTTTTTGGATTTGGAGAGAATACAGAGGAAGTTGCCTGTGCCCGCAGGAGCACGGAGATACCCAAGCAGGTAAATATTTGTACAGTTGGTGCGGGCTACGCTTAACACGCCTGGCCTAAACATCTATTTCTAGGCTTTGTGGTATCGTTATACATCACCGCGAGACTACTTATTTGCAATTGTTTGGGTTTAATTACCATTGTACACCATCAAACCATTAATAATTAGGTAAATGTCCATAGGGAGTTTCCCATGACTACGTTGTAAAGAGAACAGGAGTCCTAAAAGGTGTTTCGAAGACCTACATTGAATTGAGAAAACAAAATTCAATTTTATTACTACGTGACATAGAATTTCATTTGTGGTTTAATACTAAAGTTAATTATGTTACCACTGCTTCATATTCACAAATGTTTACCCGTCTCTCATCATTCTTCTGGGGCACGCTCTTTTCAATTCTCTCGGACGAAAATTTCGAATCAGAATTCATTTTGACTCATTCCTCTGTCATTTTATTTAAGTTTTCTTTAACGTGCGAACACTTTGCAGATGGCTACACTTTTACAAGTACCTAAAACAAGACATTTTAAAGATAATGTCACCCGAAAGATAAAATAATCTTCTATCGAATTCCGAAGACACACGTCTCAAATATTAACCGAAAGTTAGTTAAAGTGTTAGCAATTGGTCACATATGTATTAGCTAATAATGGAAACTTTGTAGCTTTTTTCTCATTCCTGAAAAGTTACAATTTTTAGATGCGTGTTGTTATAATGCATCCATTGTATTACATATATTTCTTTATTTGTCTCAAACATTTTCTTTCCGTTTTATGCCGTAGTATTCACTGATTTATTAATCAATATCTGAGCTCATAGGTAATACAATGCATCATGGATCATATAGAGGAAACTTCATTTTATTAATACTTCTAAACAATGGACAGTTACAGATAATATATCCTCTATTTGCTACATTGATTCACGTCATTACACCCAGTAACTTCGAGATAGAAATAAATATTTATTTCGATTTCAATAAGACAAAAATTAAGTTTCTTTTTTTCGTAAATTGTGAATTTATGAGAAATGAAATTTAGAAAAGTATATAATTTATTGCCTCACTTTTCTTCAGAAAATGACATGGATCATGTCGCCTAGGTTGACAGTATATTAAATTGGCAAATAGAATTTCGGGAAATCCAAGAACTTGAAAACCATTTAAAATAACGCAACGCAAAAGGAATATGAATAGATTTCAATGTTAGACTGTATAAAATAACTTAGTTATGATAAACAACAACAGCATAGAGTTTATTTGTATCAACATTGCACATATTTTAAAAAAGTGCGCAAATACATATTTATTTTAATTAAATCAGTCTTTCCTCTTTCAGAACACTAAAACTGAATTGATGCGCTACCCGTTCCCTCCAACAGTTCTGCCAGATGTTCATTCAGCTGAAAGAGGGTCTCTCGTTGTCTCTGAGCTTCACCAGCTGCTCGCTCTTCTCCCAGATGGTGCGCGCCAACCCCACGTTGCTCGCAGCCTCCGACATCCGCGCCTCCTGCGCACAGAACACACGACATTAGACTCTACGATACTTTAAACGCGACTAGCAATTAAGCTCCACACAACACGTGACATTGGACTCTTCGAACCGACAGTAAACGAAGCTTTGAACGCGAAAGGCAGTTACGAAAAGATAGTCGAAATGAGAGAGGTAAGTTCGGAATGTTTGTGAAGAAGAGTTGTGTTCACATCAGAATGCATTTCGTGGCGATTGTTTGCGAGGTTAAATCGTGAGCACAAATAGCTCAACAACTATTTGGGAGGCAATACGAGCGCTTGGCCACTCACCTTGCAGTCCGAAAAGTAGCGACCTGTCACCCCTTCCCAATTCCTCTGACACGACCCAAAGTGGATCGTGTTCATGAGCGGCGCCTTCCGCAGCATCTCAACAACAGCACTATTACCGTAGAATCGTCTTTTCTGGATATGCCATATCTCGTGCGTCTTACGTCTCGTTGACCGAGAAATTAAGCTAGTAAGGTCCGCTGTGACACATCTCAAAAATCTTGATTTTTAAAAAGAGATTTTTCTAAAATATTTTTTCTTCTAGAAAAGTTGATAAGACGTACAGATAGAACACACCTTTCGTCTCAAAATAAATGTTCCGTTCAAGACAAAATCATTACCTAGCAAAAAGGAAATTTTTAAGATACGTTATTTTGTTGTACGCCGTAAATATATAATGGAAGATTTTATAATATTTTAATTTGTTTTCGGAGTAAAAAACCTCAATTTTACGAAATACAAAATTGTAAATTGAATTTTAAAGTTATTGTTGGTACATGAGCGTCCAAATTAATTCAAATTAGCGTCACGCTTCGAACACCTCAGTTTCGATACTCTTTGAAGGCATTTAAAAAGGAAAGACAATACATTTCGAATTTGGCGCCTTCGAAAAATAATTTTGAACAAAGCTCTTTGAAACCGTCTTTCAACTGCTTCGAAAAGTCACTAATAGATTGCACCACTCGTGGGCGGCCGCGACAAAAGATTTACGCATTGTCAGATTTTCCGTAATCCATTTTTTTCACATCAGACGCCACAATTTCGCATTGTTTGAATATCAGAGGTGCCGCGACCATTTTCGTAGCGACGGTTTAGAGAAGCTAAGGATTATGCGAATTGTGCGCATCGAAAGTTGGTGGTACGATGGCAGCAAGCAATTATCATGTTGTTTCTTTGAACCAGCGCTCTGACGCGGAGAGAAGCAGCAGAAATCATGAATGACGTGAAATTCGCGAGGGTACGTTTATTGTAGTTCAGACAGAGGTAACCATGGCAATCTCTTCAAGACTCGTTGATTCATACGGCAAAGTATTAATATTTGACAATTGCGTGTCGCTTTTTTCAGAATTCTCTCGTCTGATGAGAACAGAGAAGGCGATGCATAAAACTTGTCGTCGCAATTTCTGCTATTGCTGTCCCAATCATCTAAGCAATACTTCGCAGCCTCAACAGTTATCTTCAATACATCAAAATATTTTGTTATTGTGAATACTAAAGATAATTTATTTTAAAACCACTGTTTTACTATTTGAATAAACCAGTGAAGAAAACACAAAAGTTGTACGATTTCTCCCCGATCTGGTTTAGCGTTCTAAATATGACGATTGTTTCACTGAAAATCTACAGTTGCAGTTTAGAATAAATCTTCTCTAATCATTTTCATATTTGTATGGGATTTTAATACAATTCATTATTTTCGTTGTTATTTTTGTTTTATTTTTTTTCTCTGTCGTAAAATTACTAGGCAACGCTTTATTGTAGTGCAAGTGCGAACGTTTGATTCAATCCCTCTTCATGACCGTGTTGCCTACGAATGTGAATCTTCACAAATAAAATAATTCAATTGTTCCCTTTCATTTACAGTATATATAAATGGTCGTGTATAAACCCTTTCTCATCATCATTTTATAATTTTAATTACTACAAAAAGAAAACTTATGTACATGTTCTTACCCTGAATACTAGACACAAGGCTAATTCATTTTTCTGTGATGTAGTAACAAAAGAGGAACTTACTGCAATAGAATCCTATTTGAGGTAACGCCGAACCAAATATCAATATAATTTTGTCATACAATTCCAAACTCGTGAATGATAATTGATACTACTAAAAAATAAGATATCATGGTGGCTCAGTTCACGAAGGTTGGGTTTATCTGTCTCAGTTTTCAAAATGATGCTATCACAAGGTCAATATCTGACTTAGCGGTGAGACTGACCTTGAAGAAGAGAAGAAGTAGTACTTTGACGGGCTCACGTATCCACCAAGGAATGAAGCGATAGATGTCAGTCAATACGACGCCAGGGTGAAGACTGTTCACTGTAACGCCTGCAGAAATATATAGAGTATTTTACACAATGTTCAGATATGAAAAAAATCATATATAACATTGATTCGAGAGAGCAATAAAATCACTATACACAACCATTTCCAAATCGTGGCAAACTTGGTTACGGTTAATAATAAAATATTTTACCTTCAGTTTTGGTTTCTGTTTTTAACAATAAACTCTCTTGGTTTTGAAACAGTTCCATACAGCTTTATTACTGAGAACATTACGTTGGAACTGATTTTTCTTTTAATACTGACAAGCTGCTGGATATTGGTAAGTAATATTCTTAGGTTATTGCTTGGTTTGTGTATGTACTGCACTCTACAGCAAGCCTGGGAAGGTTGTGGGTAAGGTAACTAGCTTAATAGAATTGCCGAGTAGTGCATATATTACTTAAATTTCGTAGTATGATAAGTTTGGATTGACTAGCGATTCCGGGCGCGTCGTCAGATGTCACTAATCCGTAAGTGTAGTGCATGTTTTATCGCGGGAGTGGCAATGGTCTTCCCCCGCTGGATGGCGAGATTCGACGCCGACCTACCGTCGCCTAGCAGGTTTTCCCCTAACCAGCTATCTCCCATCAGCGAGGCACCGCTCCAGCCGGGTCAAGCTCTATGCTCCTGACAGGTCTCTCGACAAGTGTGGTAGTGTGGTGCATGTGTGTATGTAAGTAAAGGGGTGAGGATATGACAAGGAAAAGCAAGGAAAGATCGCGCGCGGTCCGTGACCTATTTGTTAAGGTATCGCTCCGACATTCGCCTGGTGTTTATCGGATAAACCAAGGAAAACACCCGATCCTAGCAGCAGGCCGCTAGACTTCTCCTCCAGATGCGACTGAATTCGACCTACCTGCCCATCTAGTGTTAAAAATCCTGCCACCGACGGGATTAGAATCGTAGGACTTCCGGGGAAGATGCATTGCAATTAAATCAGTTGATACCCCTGAGCCACTTTTGCCGGTTTTAGTAGGAGAATTGTATTGATATATCCCGTTAAGAATAATACATAACTGCATTCACGCAAAGAATTCACGGCATCTAAACATTACACCTAATCGTCTAATCGGAAAGGAAGCAACAGTGCACTTTAACAGTCAACCGTTTGTGTCACGTCTTGTATGTGCCATCAACTACGCAGTGTTTCTCAAAGGAGGAGCATTGAGACGTGTTCTTGCTCCACGTGAGCACCGAGAGAGCTCGCGCTGCGGCGGCAGCGCACGCGGAGCGCCATCCGACGCGACGTCATCCGAGTGCCGCCGTTTTGCGCTTGGAGCCCGGTCCAACTAGACCAAAAACTGGAGGCCGAAGGAAGCAAATCCCGGAGTTTAGAAACTTCACGTGATGGTTCGTTGGTATTTTTTGCACGTATTAATGTGTTTCTTCAGCACTTATGATCGTTTGAAACAATTCTGAATAGTTGTTGCCTTCATTCGGCATATCCAGAGGAATATTCATTCAACAATGCTTTTGATCGAAATTCAAAAATTTCAGAACAAGTTTTTGCTGCTATGCGTATCACACCCGAAGCATCCGAAAAAAATTGGAATAACATTTTTTTTTTACAATTTCGTAATCATTGTACGTAATTCATATGTTGACAGTGTACACAATCCTTTATCAAATATTTTGACTCGATCCTTGTCAAATAAACTATGGATTATGAGTTTTCGTTCTCGAGGTAACCTCATACACATTGATATAGGATACTCGCAAGTATGTACAAAATAAGATTTGATAACATGTAAAATGTTCATACTTCTGCGAAAAATATTCAAAAATATATTTTTTTTGATAAATGTCAAATAAAAATAAAACTACTTCCATGCATTGAATTTATCATAACATATTTATAAGGGAGATATGTAAAAGGGGTTCTTGTAAATAAAAACGAGAAAATTTCAATCCTATAACTTTCAGAAGGTTAATTTCACAACACAATTTTACAGGACCTTTTTTGTAGGAACTTATGTCTACTTTAATTCTGTATAGAGCATAATTTTGAAACTTGCCATTTTGCAAATTTACTTAGTTTTTCCGGAGAATGCAATTGTGTTAGTCCCTCTCTTTTTGACTTTGGCACAAATTAATGTTTGCTTGACAGTTTTTATTGAGTTAGGCTTCCTTTACACAACGTCAGCATGGAGCAACAGTGGATCGTTATTTCGCAGAAAAAAATAAGGTAAGAAAGTCGTTGATTAAGCGACCGTGAGTACATTTCTCCATAATCCATTCATATTTGTAATCGCTTAAAATGATATAATTTTTTTTGAGTAAGTACGTGAAGGGACATTTTTGTGGAGGTGATTTAACGTAAATACATATGAACGTATGTTATAGAAAATTGCAAATAAATCACATAAAGTAAACGTCTGTCGAAAAAGTCGTGAACCCGTGTCGAGAAAAATATGATGTAAAATGTTTGCATTCCTATTCTCAAGATGTTTATCAAGTTTGTCCCCACCTGGCCCTAGTCTTACTGAATAGTAAATAATATAAACAATTCTTAAATTTCGTTTGTCGGTTGAAGAAATCTGACCAACATATTTTCGTATGAAGACACGATTCCCGGTCTCGCGCTGCTTCAGCTTGTGCGCGAACACGCACTGCTTTGTGGATTTGGAGGGGAAAAGCAAGTGGAGTCAGGGGAAGTTGCCCGTGCCCTTGGGAGTGCCGTCCCAGGCGGGCAAGTACCTCGAGCGGGCGCGGACTGATATTCCTGCCGAACAGCGTTGAAAGTGAGTGCATTTCATTTATGTCGTAATCCGTAATATTTTATTCGCGTAGCACCCCAGTCACTGTCTCTGCAACAGGCAATCTTCTTGAATCCGATTTTAAAATACAGTTTATTTACGTATTTGCTTATCAATTGTATTATTAATATGTTATTACATTATTATTATTATTATTATTATTATTATTATTATTATTGAAACGCTTTTCACGGTTTGGATTTCTGATTGATGCCTGGATTAGAACCAAAATAATTATTTTATATAACGCTCTTTATGTTAGTACTCGTGTTACATGTACAGTTAACTTTGTTAGGATCGAAAACCATTTAATACCAAGAAAGTATGATAAAAAACAAATGATTATAATACTCATATTAAAAAACCATCCCATGTCAAATTGAAAACTTCAAACAATTTTAAAAAATTCTTCTCAAATTTGAGAAAATCTACTTATAATTTATCAGATTGTTTCATTTCCTTGTTTACCATAAAACAGATCATTTTAATTAATTATTCCTTGTTTCAACATTGCATTGATAAGTCTCGTAATATATTGAAATGGTATCAGAAAAATGGCCGTCCTACCTGTGCCCTTCAGTCGTCTGGCGAGCTCGTTGGAAACTAGCACGTTTCCCAGTTTGGTCATTGAATAGATCTGCATGTCGCCGAAATCCTTGGCAGTAGAATACTCCAATCGCTCCGGCGTGAGTTTTCCTATCTCGTGTGCCCCAGAAGACACGAACACAATTCGTGCGGGGGCAGACTTCTTCAGTAAGTCCACCAGCAGAAGAGTGAACAGGAACGGCCCGAAGTGATTTGACTACGGAGAAACAACATTCATAACTTAACACTGACGAACACCTGACGAACGTGGAATAATGAATTCGTGAGAATATTGCTGCTGCAAAGCAAATGTCGTGAGAAATAGTAAAAATATAATTCAAAGTAACCAAGGGGCTGATTCAACTTTAAATATTCCATAAAATGTAGAAACTAAATCAATAAACAAGTAATTTATTCAAGTAAATGACTAATACTTAGTAAAGGCAGAGATAATTCTTTACAACATCAATGAAGATTAAATTATGGAAACTCACACCGAATATACATCAGAATTTGGCGAGTCACATCAGCCTAACACTGTATATTTTCTTCAATTATTAGATGGAACCATTGCTGTGCCTCCAAATGTTATTTATCTTTCCAATTTTTGATTTCAAAAAATTATTGCAAAAGAATTGTGTAGGCCACAGTAAATATTGGGTGCAATATTGCGTGTCATAAGTATATTGATTTATTTGGTACAATGAATATCGAAATTTATTTTACAAGTTCATTTGGTACCACACAGGGGGAATCAGTCCTCGCTCCTACAGGACTCGCTGATGGAGTTCATTAAGTTGTTCATGAGTTTAAAAAGAAATAGTGCGAACAATATTCAAAATTTTCAAATAAATCAAGATTTTTGTCATTGGTCATTTTGTGCAAAAAATCATAGCCCAAATATTACATTAAATATTCTTCCCTGTTGTTATTATTGTCTACTCACCTTAGCAATAATGAAAGGAGAGAAAAAAACAACATTACGAGTTATTTAGGATTGTTTATCATATTTGAGTATAGAGCAAACATTTTGCATTGACACCTCGTGTGACAGGGGCTCTATCAGTGTTAAAATGGCCTCCTCTTGGGTCGACGCAAGATAGGCATCTGTGCTGCACGGCCTCCGTCACGCACGCTTCATGTCGGCCGGCAGGCTTCCAATGCGGCGAAGGTCATCACTATCTACTTGGGTAGTATAAACGCGATTTCTGCTTAGCCCCAGCTCCGAAATGGGGTACTCGAATTACTAAATTCATATTCTAAACGCCTCTTAAACGCCAGGGAGAGGAGAGTACCGAGAATCAATTCATCCACAATGCCAACCGACACACAGAGAAGCGCTCATGGTAAGATACACTACGTACAACATGCGCATTTTTCTCAGCTATCACATGCAAATTTTGCAGAATAATTGTGGAAGCTCTGGCAAAACACGCTTCATCTGACCAAAGAATGAAATTCCTGGTTTTCTTTGCATATGCGCAGGAAATAGAGCAGACTACAAGTGCCAGGGAAGATCAAAAAACTCGCAAAAAGTTGTTGCCTGCACCTGCAGCCCCTGTGGAGGAGCGCGTCGGCTGTCTGTCTGACCCAAGTCCCCCGACACCTGGCACCCGCGTTGTGGGATTTGAGAATGTCGAGGCGGGGCTCCGAAGCCTGGATCTGTGCGGGCGCACGTCCCTCACAGAGTCCAGCGACGCCAGGTCCAGCGACAGCAGCTCCACCGTCGCGTCGCCCCGCGCTGCGGCGCGCACCACCTCTGCCACGGCGCACGGAGATGTCATCAAGAGCGTTTGGCGCACAGAGCCATAAACGAGTGTTTGGCGCATGTAGTCATTAAAAGAGTGTTTGGTGCATGAGCGGAAGGAGTCATAAAAGAGAGTTTGGCACATGAGCTCAAGGAGCGCAGCGAAGACAATTCTTTTTATTTAAACTAATCATATTCAAAAACCACCTCTCTATTAAACCACTATCGCTCATCCAGGTCTTTCTTAACGGTCACTCACCAAGGGCCTTCTGTCCGCGCTGGGGGTCCCTGCAGGCCATCAGGACTCGAGCTCCTCTCCGCGCCAAGTCTTTCGCCGTCTCCAGACCAATGCCTGCGCCACACAACGCAAACACTCAGATCAGTACACCAACTTGAATTTCATGAAGACATTATGTATCAAGGTAATTATTGAATAGTGGAATTAACATACCGCATATTTTGAAAATAATTTATCTGTAAAAATGTTCATGCATGATGAATCATACTCCTTGGTATAGCATTGTTCGTCTTCACTTTGTCACATAAATCGCATAGAGTAACGAAACTTTTTACAATATATGCAACTTTGTCATTTATCGGATATTTCAAAGATTAAACCTTTATATTCATTAAATCACGTGACATAAGTATTGATCCGCAACTGTGAATAAGATCAATCCATGGATTCAGTTCCATGTGCCCAAAAGAGATTTACTCTACATGTTCAGTATTTATTTTTATTGTTTAAAGAAGCTTTATGGTTACAAGACTTTCCAAAATCATGAAACATACAATATCACACTCACACTAAAAGCAGAAAAGTGTATTCAATCCCAAGTAACTGCAGATCCACATCTCTCTTATCAATTTTGAGTTATGTCTTTGAAAAATTACTGCTAAAATCTCGCGAAATCAATCGGATATTTTGATTTTTGGAGGTACTTTTCTTTAAACCTAAACAATATATTTATTCGGCGTCTTCCTACAACTGAACACAATATTGAGTTGTTTTCCTGACTGAAATCTGTTTAAATAATCTGAAACGTCTCCAAATTGTTTCCTTAAATTTTCTTGGCCTATGAATCAAAGGACGTTAAAAATATGTGCTGGTTCCACTTTCGTAAAACTCTCATATTTCCGAAAATTTCAGATATTGCAAATATAGAATAATAGGGACAGCGTTTTGTATCTGAGAGAAAATTATTTCTAAATATTAGATCTTTAAAAAAGATTATGCACAATTTTTCGAAAAAAACAACAACAGTTATTTGCGTGTATTTTCTGCCTGAAATTAAAGCAATTATTTTTTTAAAAAAGAGGTCTTAAATTTTTTCTTTAACTTTTTCCACGGATGGAGCAAAGGACGCTTAAAAATTACCAGGAATTATTTGCGTTGAATTATCTGTATTTTCGAAAATTGCATATGTTAGAAATTATGTGAGACACCATGGTATACATAGCTGTAAAACACCTGGCTGGTGACTCCATGAACCTAAGTCTGAATTTCGACGTGAAGAAAAAGAATTGATATTTGGAAACACACTTGCAGGTTCTTGTTATAGTATAATATTGCACAGCCGTTAAAAAGTATGCGAGAAAATAAATGATATTGAAGCATTACTGACTTTTGAAATGACTCTGGGAAAATGCAAAAAACGTTACATTACGAGATGGTACCAGAGAAAATCCGATACTTCTAATTTCGTCTGAAATGCTCCAGGGGTGTAGATAAGATTTTTTTATCAAGAATGACAAGATATGTTTGAGGGTAAGGAAGACATTCGATTACAGAATACGTGTGGACGAAGCATTGTTATCAGCTTTTCACGTAATTTCAAGAACTTTGGTCCTCACATAACGTAATATTTCTATTCCTTAACACCATTCCCAAATATGCAAATCATTCGAGAGGACACAATACAACGTTATTCAAATATTATACCAAGGAAACAAATTTAACAATTATCACAGTTTTAACATGAATCTAGAGATTCGTTAAACAAATGGTAAGTTCTAAAATATGTTTTATCTTCGAAACTTGAAAGCAAAATATTCCTCCTTTGAGAAAAGAGAAATATACTTCTTTCCATTGCTTTTAGATTAGCGTATACCAATAATATGTTATATCTTAGTGCGTCGTAAGCAAAAGAAACCTAAAATAAATGTTTAAAAGTTAATAACTCGCAGAGTGCTATTAAAAAGAACGATAATATGAGTTACGGTGATAATCAAACCAGGAAATTTTTTTGTATTTTTTTATAAAATAAGAACCCAAATCAGTTTTCGGGACATTTATCCCAGATTCAGTTGATTTACTCAACAACTGAAATGAGAATGATAAAGACAAATTTTAATGAAAGGACTAGTAACAACAAATTTAAAAAACAAATAAAAACAAAATGAATAAAGTAAAAAATACTACTCAACTAACGTTGAGAACACTTTAAACCTGAAACTGATGTAAACTGAATAAAGAATAAAACGTTGTGTTCATTCAATGATAAATGCGTTGGTTGAAATCAACGTGCTAGAATATACTACATAGAGTGGCTGGCTACTAGAGCGCCTCAATCTTTGAAGCAAATGGAAGCCATGTTTTTTGCAGTCAAAGCAGCGTCCTCTGGGAAACAAAGTATTCCATAAACTTTTTATAGCATTCTTATGACTATTCTTCTTACAGCATTACGTTTGGCGGTGGTTACGAACGATTACACCGTGGTTAATATGCCGCCTCTCGAGTGTTTTTCTTCAAAACTGGCGGTCACTTGTCGGCGAACATCCAACTTCCAAAGCGCTGAAAGTAATTAGACGCGCCACTCATGTAGTAGTAAGTCTAGCTCGTTATGAACTAGACGGGGCGGGGGGGGAACATAAGAACTTCCTACTCTCACCATTTATACTTGGATAAATTAATAGAGCTGCTCTGAAGTAAATAACTGTTTAAAATGCATCCAAATCGGAAGTTTGAAACGATCACCATAGTGATGAGCTCCCGATTGGATGCACCGTAAGCAGCTGATCTGTCGGGCAGCTGAACGGCAGTATAGTAGTTTGGCGTAATTAGCAAAGGTCCAATAAATTAAATTGAACATTTCCTGGCTCGAGTTGAATCTCCTTCCAGCCGATGAGCTACGAACTCAACTTTAGTTGGGTAGTATTGTAAGGAGAACACGCACCTGCGTTGGCTCCATGATCAAAGTGGAGTAGGCCGTCCGGTCCGCCGCGAGTGTCGCACATCCCAATACCAAATGAGTAGCCACATCTTGAAAGGCCCGGCGGCGGCCATCTCCTACCACGCATGGTCGAAAGACCAACAGCACGCACAACACAACCCATAACGTCTACACCACTGTCAACTGAAGAGTTCTTTTAGCAATGCCTTGCACGATAAAAACGGAGCGAAGGCACTGCAACTAACACTGTACGCTCAGTTGGCCTCGCCGGAAGCATTCCACTCATATATGTCCCTCCCGCCCTTCCCCCACATCCAACCCCGGTCAGCCACTACATTTCATAGCAATGAACACTCCACACGGACAGATAACGATTATGGAGTTTTATATGTCATTCTCACAGATCAGAATGGTGAATACACTGTCTATCGCTTCTTAGTATTCATCAATCGTCAGTTATTAATACCGATAGCATTACTGTCAAACAAGTAAGCCCTTATATTGAAAATATTGTTTACTTAGTGACTTCTTGTTAGTTCACATTACGTCACTTCAAATCTTCAAATCGAAATTTTACCAACATTACATCAGAAGACAAACCGCGTACCCAACCTGGCTTTTGTGCATGAAGCGAGATTGAAAAACGAAATTACCATTAATTGATCATTTTAGTTAATGACCTATTTGTTAAGTACAACGTGTTAGAGATTAAGAAACGTGGCACATAATTACGACAAAACATCTTCACCCTACTTTAAATGAGCTTACAACTACAGAATAACACAACAAAATAAGAATACAGTTACTTAGATTTTATTTTATATTCACAGAATACACATATTCACAGCCCCAAGTGGATATAAAACTTAACATAGAAGACGTATCCCACAGACAATTCACCCTCACACCAGGCATTCACAACATTAAAACACTCCAAAATACCGCGTCATTTTATTGCAGTCTCAAAAATGTGGTACCGGTCTATATGAAAAAAAATTATGAAAACTATCAATTCAACTTTTTATGTTTTTGTAACCACAATTACAGCTAAAATCCACGACGTATTTCTCCTTTCGATATTTGTTACATCTAGAGCAAATTTAAGTGTATAAAGAACATTAAACTTTTATGGACGTAGAACAATCCAAAATATATTTAAACACGCATCGCCGTATAGAAGAATTATTTCATCATTCTACATTGTCTCTTTGTCGGTAACACTTTCACTTTCATTCACATATGAATACTTCTCTCCAAAAACATTTTTTCGATCACATTGAATTGAATTCAAGTTACTAGAATTTAATATAAATAACACAATAAATTCCGACATCATCCTGACACTCAATTACTTTCCAGAACGTAAAACCTTCGACAGATACACCGCCAAATAATATAGAGAAGACGAGACAAGGGCACCTTCTCTGATTTTTCTCTATCAGCAACGTAAACACAAAACTGAAAAAGTACATGAACTTCAACCAACAATCGCTTAATTGAGACTGAAATATTGCAATTGAAAACTTTGATTTACGTGTGGATTGTTCCAGTCAGTGTTCATCGCTTGATGATTTGATTTTGCGTAAGCATTGGATCTTTGAGTTACTATTGGAGTTTAATTACATATCTTGGAGGTTCTCACCACCACACAAATGCCTCGCCAATCTCACTAGGTATTGAAAGAAACCTCATTGCGAACGACCCAAAGGGCAAACTTATTCAGCGATCGTGACACACCAACGCACTGGTACAGTATTGAAAGTAGACCAATAAATGGAAAGGGCACTCATTTTTAAGCTTCATTTTTTCGCAAAACTTAGTATAAATTACCAATACAAGATATTGAAATAACTGAAGTATTATCTAACAATGTTTCAATGATGTTTCTTTCTTCCAACTCAAATAATTAATATTAGACTCTAGTATATTGTGTTTCTTCTTTATATTGGCCATAATTTACTGCAAACAACGGTAGTGCAGATTATGAAGAATATAAAGGAGTATCCTGTACTCACAATATTTTTGGCCGTGAAAGGTTGCGTTTAAAATTTTATACAGAGAAAAATCTGTCATTTATATATGAATTTACAAAAAAAATAATCTGTTAGCCACGGGAGGCCCCACATATTGTCCGATTTAAATATAATGACTATGACATCAGCTGTACGCGTTATCCAATCGACAGTTCGTTGAGACTAATATAGATAAAAAGCAAATCAATTCATAACCCGTCACAGCTGATAAGTCAAAATCACTATATTCAAATTATGATAGGACGTAGCGGAAAGTCAAATACGTACCGACTTCTACCCCAAAAGCTTTCGCTTTCAAAAAAGCGTAATCTCTTTTCCACGGTCCTTTGCTAAGAACGATCTCCTGAGACTAATGTCACGCTAATAGCTTAGATGTTAAAATTAAAATTTGTAGAAATGTAGAAAGTTAAAATGTAGATTTGCTAAATGAATTAAAAATTCCCTTGTGTAGCGACATAACTGTGCAAATGTTCATTTTAATAAATAACCTTTCAATTTGGAAAAGAATAGAACGTTTTTGTTCTATGAAGAAAGCAGTTTCTATTAGATTTTTACTTTTTTCTTGCGGCCTTACTGAAATACTCCGGCCGAAACCAGCAGCCACGCTGTTATGAGCGACATCTGGTTGTGGAGAAATCTTTATAGTAACAGCTATAGATTACAAAGGCTTACAGTCATTGATCAACCTAACATAGGAGTACACTAGTTTCGGAACGCGAAAGAATGCCAAACCGGTGCTGCGTGTTCAATTTTGTGTCTACTGTTAAAAAAATGAAAAGTTATCTTACTGAAACTTTAAGAGTGAGCTCTTGCAAAAACTCAGAAAAAGATGAATCTTGACATTCAAATCTCAAATAATATTAGAGTTTCTTCATTTGCCCATGCACAACAACTCCGCTTTCAGTTATAAGGAGTTACAGTTCAGTTTGTAACCCGCCGCTAGCCATGTTTGTAACCAACCATGTAAATTAGTAATAACCAAATAATGTATAATAATTGAAATTAAATTAAAAATTAAAATCAGCCATGTGTCGATCAATACTTTTCGTAAAACCATCTTTCTACAAGAGTAAATCATATAAATAAGAAATATTATTTTCTTGAAATAGAGTACCTTTACAGCATCATTAGCTAATCTCTTTTGCCTTGATTGCTCTTAACGGTCCTCCAGATAGTCTGCATTTCGTATTTAGCATTTGCTAACTTTTTTTTTACGAATGAAGAAACATGACAAAACAATTTTCTTACCATGTTCATGTTTTAACAATACGGATATTTCTAGTATCGTCATAGCATATTATTGTTAAAAGAGTTTTTCAGTTTAAAAAATTAAAATTTGAATTAGAATAGTGTCGTAGAAAACATTATGTAACGCTAAAGAGGACAATGCGCTGCTTTTGATATAATAAAATATATATAATATATATTATAATATATATATATATATAATATCATATTATATAAACGCCTATGCGACCTTCCTTCACTCACAACTCGACCCTAATCTTATTATTGGATGCATCAGCATCCACTAATTCGACTTAACTTATCAATAAATTGGAAGAATACACACAAATAAAATGAATACAATTTGTTGACTGCTTTAATGTATTTTTTCTTCTTGTGTTTACAAGGGGGGGATGGATGTCGCAAGCGTTTCGTAATTATTTAGGGGGGTCAAGCGCGCGTTACGGGTGCGTTACAAGGGGGAGAGGGGGTATTCAAAATACTCCAAATTTTCGTTACGTAATTTATGGATGGCCTTATACAACCAATGGCTGTACTTGATGATAATCTTGTTGGACCCTCCTGCCCCCGCGCCAGAAACATATGAGTGTCCTTGTACCACCAACTTTCAGCCCCCTTCTAATTTCATTCCTAATAAACAGGGTGCGAATTGACCCCCTTCTGGAGAGTTTGATGTCCACGACAGGAAAAGTAATTTCACCTTGCCAGAAATACAATTAATCCAGAACAGTTGCTTTGCTTCCGCTCCACATTTGAAAACGTTCAAATCGAGAAAATCGTCCAAGAACACATTGCCGAAAGCAATATTATTTTTGTGTTTCATTCAGACTGCGATGCGTGGGATGGTCTTGCTTTCGCTGACGAGCGGAGCGACCTGGATGTGGTTTCGTGCGGCTTCACGCGTGGAACATCGGCCGCTCGTCGGGGCGGAGCCGCACGAGCTGCTCGCTGCGCGCCCACACCGCCCGCGCCAGCGCTTCGTCGCGCGCCTGCCGCGCAGCGCGCGCCTCCTGGCGGCCAAACGAAGAGGTACATTGGAGCGGACTCTGGTGGACCACTTCTCCAACTACTTACAGGTTCATATGTTACATACGACATTTCTAATGTCATGCCGAGGGTTACCGGATGAGAAACAATGTAAAGACTTTAAAATGCAGGACAATAACAGGTTATATTAAACAATTGCTGGTAACGTACGTACGTTGCGAATCTTCAAACTAATCACCCTGCTTTCTAAGCAGTGCGACCCTTTTTGAAGCTTATATTTTACGTCGAACTCAGCAGTAAACGTACACCTATTTTTTTCATTATACCTTATAGGAAACTCCAAGCAATGTTTTATTCATGCATAAACTTTGTTGAAATTGACACACGTTAAAATCCTCCGAGAAACATACGTTTAGGCTTAGTAGATCAGGGGTGTGATACGAAGCTCAGACAAAGAGAAACTATCGATCTTTAACTTGCTGAGAACCACGATACAGCGTTGGAATGCTGTATACTCAATGTCAAAAAGATTGCAGTAAAGAGAATAATCAAATATAATTTAAACGCAAAAAATAGTAGACGATGTTTTAAAAGTTTATTACTTTTTCTAACACGAAAATACGGACAATTTGCTAGTTTCGGAAAATAAGTACGGCCGCAAGTACAATCACAAAATCCGGACATCTGCTAACCCTAGTCACATGCAAAGTCCGGAAAAATATGTAGTATGAAACTACAAACTATGTTTACAAATATGCAATGATATGAATATGATACAAATAGAATGAACAATCTGACATGTGTAATCAAATTTAAAAGGCGTAATTTATAAAAGATTAACACATTTTGAAATGACAATAAAATATTTATTTAAAAATAAGACATATATAGCTTGTCCTATTGAATTAATTTTTTTAAGAATTTATTTGTATCTTGGAGAACATTGATAGCGTACATCGTAGACATGCGGTAACTCAATGATCTGCAAACAATCCCTCTAGTAATGCTATGCCACCGAGAAACAGCGTAAATTGGAATTATTGATAAAGGCTAAAAGTGTAATGAGCAGTCACAAGATGAAATTTCATGAGTTTTGAATTACATGGATAAATGATTGGGCTTCCCAAGCTAAAATCATGAAAATGACTTCTTTAGAATAAAAAATTATTTTTGAAATGTGCGCCTGGGATGAATGGGGCCACTTCTTTGGAATGTGTTCCGATGAATAATCAGAAGATTCAGTGAAATTACAAACAAAGGTATATGGGTTCGCCATTTTAGGCGTACGAAGATTGTACGAAATATTTGAGCAAGTAATTCGCAAATTGATATGTTAATACCGGCATTTCTCACATTATTATTATTATTATTATTATTATTATTATTATTATTATTATTATTATTATTATTATTATTATTCAGCTACGTTTTCATTATGGACAAGGGCCCCCTGCCTTTTGCAGGGAATGCTGAAATGAAGTGTTATTGTGATGATGAGAGGCGAAAGGACTAGGATGATGGTGGGAGGTAGGAGGTGGAGTGGAGGGAGGTGATCGTGGCATTTGAATCATCCCACCATTCGTCTTATGATTGAGGGAAAACACGAAAATCCCCGGGAAGGATGACCGGCCCGAGGATCGCAACCGTACCTCCCGACTGCAAAGTCAACGCGCTACGCTCCAAGCCACTTCGTTCGGCATTCCTCACATGAAATTGGCGTATTTACCTTGCAGTCGACGAAGTAGCGACCGGTAACGTCTTCCAGTTCCTCAGCAACCGCCGCATATATCGTTGTTTGGGCGCCCTCCACGGCATTCTGAAATAATTAAGTTAAACAGCTATGTTACAAGGTTGAAATTAATTTAAAATTAAGATTACCTTATGAGTATATTTGAATTTCTGTGAAGATTACGTTCCGTGATTTTAAGGCACATATACAACAAAATTAAATTTGTTAAGTCAAGAATGACAGATTTCATTAACATTTTTGTCATTTCTTTGAGTATTACACATATCAATGTTTCGAAGGACGTTGGCCTTTATCATCAGAATCTCTTTTTGAATTTAATTGTTATTGCTAAGAAAGGTGAGAGAATGATACTGAGATCAGGACCACGTCGGGTTCCGCTAGCAGAATTTAAATCCTGGTGTTAGGAGGCCAATTGCCCGTTAAGGGACATTTAATGGCTAAAAATAAAATTAAAATAAATAAAATAAGAATATTAATTTGAACTTAAATTATTTGAAAGAAAATAAGAAAACGAAAAATTTATAAAAATATAGTCATAATTTACTGAAATAAAATATCCACAAATCAACTATAAATACTTAGACTATCCACCAAAGCTGGCCAAAACAATGAATTACTATTGATCAATATCTTAATGGAGGTCAAAAATATGTCAAATCTGACCTTGTATTACATCCCTGTTTGTACTATCAGGGTTAAGAAGGTACTATTAACTATTGTTAACTCAATGTGCAAATAATGAGTCGCTAATGATTTCAGGTTTATGAATAAATGAAAAAAAAGAAAAGAAAACATTTTGTGGTTAAGTACGACCAACGAGGGACAAAGCAGCTTTAAATAAAATAAATTAACCTGTAGTTGAATGCTCGAAGAATATGATGTATGCATAATAAATAATTCACTCATAGCTTATGTCGAAGTTTCTTATTTATAGTCGTGTGAAAGTTGCCGTTGCGAAAGCAGCAACCAGAGTTGAGCTGGAACGCTTGCGAGACATATTGATACGAAAGTCGGTAAGGTAGGGAGGGATAGGGAAAATGGGAGAATGTCATAAAATCAAAAAATCTAATCATCCCAGAAATGAAAATTAAGCAGATATTCTTTTTCTCAAGAATCAATACTTTGAATTACATTTTAGATCAATAATTAAAGCCACTTTAAAGCAATTAAATTGTTCGTTTACGCATGTACCATACAACATAAGTATACACATTTGTAAAGCAAATAAAAATAAAAATACAGTGAACGTCTGGGGACTAACAATTTTAATTCACTATATCCGATGATGTCAAAATTCAGTAGCGATAATCCATAGCAATTGCAATCCATAACGATTGATTTTTATTAATATAGAGACACTGCAAAATACATTAACAACACAAACTGAAAATTTTAATATCTTTTTTTTGTCCTTAAAAAATCAATTCTTTTCAATTTTTTGCTTCACACTTGGTAATTTCTCTAGATTCTTTTCCATCGATTGTGCTCTTTCCATACTTAATTCTGCATTGTCCTCTGGTTATAAGTATCGTAATGCAGTCGTGACTCCCTCCAATGCTTCTCGCACTGTTGAACACTCTGAAGGCCCTTGCTCACCTAATAGCACACGAGATGCTTTCGGTATTGGGATGCCGCAAGCCGCTAATGCAACTGATCGCTTTTCCGCGCGGTACGGCTGATATCGCTAGGCTGTGACATTCCTTCCTGTCGCCTACATAGAACACAACGCGCTTTGTTCCTCGGAATATCAAATAACACCAAGCCGCCAGTTGTAGCCCAGGTAGGACACCGCCTTCGTTTCCGCAGTGAAACTGAGTGGCATGAGGACAGCAGGAAGGTTTCCTTTTCCAGTCGGCTACCTTCATCTCAGGGAGACTTCTTTAATTATTACCTTTGCCCAAAGAAATTTTCAAGCTGTCTAGTGTTGGAGTTTGTGGCATTGAGATGATGTATTATTTTCCAAGGGGGAACTAATTTCCCGGTTGTAATAAACGTTCACTACAGCCAAGGTTCAGGTTCACTATGACCGAATCTTCTGCTTATTTGTATTGTTAGTGAAACATGACCAGTGACTTAAGTTCACTATAATAGAGGATTAACTATATCCGAATTCACTATATCCTAAGTCCACTAAAGTTGCAAGATGAACAAAAGTACCAAAAAAGCAACATTAGACATGTGTGCTATCAAGTAATAGAACACTTATTTGCATCGGCAAAAGACTTTACTGCTTTTGCTAGTTTATACTTTTTTGACGATTATAATTGTGACAAATTAATTGAGTTTTTTGTTATAATGCAGTTCATAAACATTAAATTTATTGCCTAAAAGTAAAGGTATTTATTTGTCACTTAATTTTTTCAGAAAATTGAACTCAAATCAATTAATTCGATTAATACTTGTGCTTGTTTAGAGTACGAACAAGAAATGCAACTGTTAAAAAGGTTTCAGAATGTTGAAGCATTTAACGAATTTAACGAGATTCTGTTTCACATCACAGCCTTAAAAATAAAAGTTTCTTTTTGACCTAGCACATTTTACAGCAGAGCGTTTTAAAAGTGCATATGTAACACTGATACGTAAAATGCAATGTCATTTTGTCCATTGAAAGTTTTCGGTATCATTTGAAAAGGGTTTTAAAATGATATAGATCTGTCAATACGGAGTTAGAACTCTTCAAAATATCATTTTCTTCCAAAACGTCAGATAAAATGCTATTCGGAGATCACGATATTTCAGAAGAGGTTTCCAGTTCCATACTAACTGAATCCTTTTTCCTGGACGGGTTTGTGAGCCATATGAAAATTTCAATTGAGAACTCCTTCTTTTTACATCTCATTGGAATTCTACATACCACCAACTGTACGGTGCTGAATTGAGTATTGGAGTGAATTACCAAGTATGACGCCTTATATTTATATTACCTGGAGTTGGTAGAACCTCTCATCTACTGATTTAAAACACCAAGAGCTTTTGTATGCTCTAAGATTTCTCACTTAGAAAGTCATTTAAGTTTTCTATTCAATCAAATTTCAAGATTGTTAAAAAAATTATTGGCTTCTCGTGTATTAAATTTAACCGTTATCTCTAGTTCCCATTCAACAGCCCCTTCCCATTCCAAAATTTTGTGCCTCCCCCCCTCAGAATTGTCTGGAGCCACCATTGTTGTAATAAAGTCTAACCGAACGGACACACCAAAAAGTCTCAGAGGAACGGACACGCGCAGGTTAACCGATTCACTATTCTCTTACCTTGAAAAAGAGCCTGGCGATGCTGCCAAAAATTGCAAAGAACCAGGTGGGCAAAAACCTGAAGAAGTCGGTCAGCACGACGCCTGGATGCAACGAGTTCACGGTCACTCCTAGGAATGAAGAAGCGTTATCTCTTATCAGCCGTTAAGAATATAGCGGAGCAAACTGCTGCAATAAAGAACTGCATGGAAGGTCGAATATTTCCAGAACATTACAAGGAAGAGCATTGACTTCAAAGACCTTGCTTACGATACCTATATTTTTATTGAAGTAATTACCTTTGTCTCATGTTGCCTGTGCACAAGAAACGCGTACATCTCAGACATTTTAATTTTACAGTAGAGCTGTTTAAATATGAGCAGAGCCATTTAGTAGTAGGCAAAAGCGAGATAAAGAATATCTCAGAAATGATCTGAACTAAACTGACAATCTGGAATTTTCACTAAACTAACCTATTTTAGGAACATTTTTTTTACTTTTTTATAGTAAACATGTATTATTTTCTAAATACCATACTCCACATACCATACAAATTTGATTAAATGGGAAACCTGCATTAAAGAAGAAAAACTCATTATGAAATCTCGAATTTTTTTACGAAAATTGGCTGCCCTATTTCCAACTTTCTCATGATGGTAAGATTGACACTTATGTATAGTTATGACGATATGTTAGACCTTTTTTGTATATATATTATTCTTTGTTGATTATTACAATATATTAAATAAAACAAATAAATAGCATAATTTTCTCCATTAATAATTTCAAATAACATTCGCGCATGGTATACCTGTAAACTATTGTGCAAAAGATGTGGAGGTCAAACATGACCCCAAACAGAGTTCACGTAAGTAATGGAGAAACAGAATCTAGGGTTAAAATGTCTGTGCCTACAAATTCAACACACCCAAGTTCGATTGTTGCAGGTGCGGATTCAGAACCTTCTTAATTTTTGGAGGGGAAATTCAAAATGTTTTGGTCGAATATGTCATATTACAGATTTTGTAAAATGTTGCAGGCTACCCTCACTTCATGCTGCGATACGGTTTTATTGATGATTATCCTATATATTATTTAATGATTATCCTAAAATATTTTTGCTTGAAAGTTGCATAAGAGGTTAAAATCTATAGTTACTGCAACATTTTAGGGGGGGGGAGGTCCCCTCATTTCCCTCCTCGTGGATCCGCGCCTGACTATGGTTAACATTTCCAGGAACAACCGCCTCCTCACGTTGACTCACCTGAACCGCGCAGGCGTCGCGCCAGCTCGTTAGAGATGAGCACGTTACACAGTTTGGTCATGGGGTATATGGCGAAGTCGCTCATCTCCTTGGCACGGGCGTGGTCGAGGTCCTCCACAGACAACGTCTGTGCGCGGACGTGCGCCTTAGAAGACACGAAGATGATCCTGGACGGCGCAGACTTCTTGAGCAGCTCAACCAACAACAGTGTGAAGAGGAACGGTCCAAAGTGGTTCACCTACACACACAAATCGGGTCTAATCCCCTATCATCCGTCGCACGCCTTGGAAGATACGAAGATGATTCTGGAGGGCGCAGACTTCTTGAGCAGCAAGAAGAGAAACGGTTCAAAGTGGTGCACTTGAACAAAAAAGTCGTGTCTTATCCCCTTATTCTCTCACACACAAATAATGTGTGACATTATAGAAATAGATAGGAGGCATTGTTTTGTCGTGGGTGTCTATTTTGTCTAAAAGTTTTTTCGGTCGCATTGTGGCCTTTTTCAGCGCGATACTCAGGCGGCTGTGGGTCTCGGTTCAACAAAACAGACCATATGGCGGACAGACGTTTTGCCATCAATCAAGTTTTCGGTACAGAGGACCCATAAAACATATATTGAGGCTACATCATGTGTTACAGAATTTTTATTCTTAATTGAGCATCTGATTTTACAGTTGCCCCTTTTTCGTTGCCGCGGCCCTGAAATAAGTTATTCCGCCGTAAATTCCATCGTTTTTTCGTGGAGCATTACAAACCTTGCTCTCTACCGCGGTAGCAGTAGCTAGAAAGTAAAAAGTAAAACAAGCTTTTCGTGTTTCATGTTATCCAACCAATAGTACCGTCACAACTGATCAGGATAGAAAACGCCGACCCCGTTTCCCAGGCCGCTGACGCCCGCGTTGTTCACTAGCGGGGAGGAACGCCGAGATAATACGTGCACATCTCTTACGAAACTAATGACCATAGCAGTTGGCGCGCCCGTGCACCCACCTGGAGGCCGAGGTGCAGTCCGTCGCGGCTGAGCCCGCTGCCCAGGCCGCCGGCGCCTGCGTTGTTCACCAGGATGTCGAGGCGGGGCTCCGTGGCGAGGACGTGCTTTGCGCATGCGCGAACAGACTCCGGCGATGCCAGGTCCAGCGCCAGGAGCGCCACCGTCGCCCCGTCGCCCGCCTCCGATAATACCTCCTCTGAGCCACGAAACAAATGTATGGATGAAACTATTGACTACGTAGTGCCTGCGACTGCGCCTTATTTGACACAAGAAAAAACATGTAAGGATAAAAATACATGTCATAAGTAGTGCTTCCGACAACACCTTCTCTGGCACGAAATGGTTACAAAAAATTCTGCATTACAAAAAGGGAATAGGAGCTGAAAAGGATTCGATAGCTTTTCCAACTATATACTATAGCCTGGGTTTCGAAGTAAATGTCAATTTTTTTCCAAAGACTGTATCTCATGTTATAAAATAATCTTAATAACGAAACAGCCAGACTAAAGATGCCAATAAATCGCTGAATTTACAAAAAGGAAAAAAAAATTAGAAGAAAAGTCTCTTTGTCACATTTTGTTTTCATTTTTATTTAGTTTCACTTATTTTAGCAGTCTGCGAATCGTTCAGTCGCCAGCTTTTTGCGAGAACCTCCTCTGAATAGACAGCTTTCTTCTTTATCTTTGTCATGGAAATGAGACGGATTGTCAAGGACATAAACATAGGTTATGAAATGTTAAAAGACAGTGTAAAGTCGGGAATGTGCCGGTATTTCTTATAACGTTTTTTGTATTACATGATAATATTAGTTAAAACCATAAATACCGCATATCCTGTTCTGTTGATTAGAAAATATTGAAGAACGCCGGTTGATTATTTTTATCTAAATAGCTTTGATAATACACATTAATGGGAAACATGAACTTTACAAATGATAAGTAAAAGGAAATAGCTCACATTTTTTATGTAAAAAAAGTATTTTATTTTAAATTTCTAGACAATCTATAAGACAGTGGCAATCCGCAAGATATATAACTCGCGTATAAAAGATAATTCCATATTAAAATAATAAATCAACGACCTGTACTGATACACCTGAACTAAGAGGGCATTCAATCCCAGGAAATTACCAATCTTGTGAAAAAATAATAAGAGAACGTCATATTGAAAGGGTGAACGTCACATGACAAGGAAACTGAAACACTTCCTTTAAGAAGAAGCAAACACCTGCAATATTCTCTCATTTGGTGCAAATATTCAGGGCAGATACATTAATCTTACAATGAACATTTGGTTTTTACCAAATATTTTCAGACGCTTCTTGTGCTACTAAAACATAACAGTAACATACAGTAGTGCTAAAAAACCGCATCACCTTTTTCGCAGTTGTAATCTGCATTGCAATCCTGAAAGTACACCACTTGATTTTCAAAAATTCAGCGAGTCAGAAAGGTAACGGAATCAGAAACATATAATCCACAAACAATTTGTAACTTACCAATATCTATTAATATTAGTTTAAAATTTTTGAGAGTAGATTGAATTAGAAAAATACAGAATGCCCATTTTATTTAAATGACGTGATTTTTTTAGCACTACTGTAAACTCGAGCGGTGCCACTAAAGTGTCTACCTACCGAGCGCCTGCAGCCCGCGCTGGGTGTCCCTGCAGGCCAGCAGCACGCGAGCTCCGCGCCGCGCGAGGTCCTTTGCGGTCTCCAGCCCGATACCTGCAGTGGACAGAGCACTAAAGCCGAATACCCCCCAAGGCTGGGCCCATTAGCGTGAGCACAGAGCCGGCCAGGGGGTCGCAACCTCCGGAAATTTTCGAAATGTGCCCCTAGCACTACGTAATAAAACATTTAATTTCTGTAAATATGATACAATTTCTGGCTCCTCCCCTTTTTAAGCAAGCTATTGATGGACGACCATTTCGGGATGAGGCTCTCGAAAACATCTGGTCACTGTAAATAGTTCAACATCAATATTGTACTTACAGTGAGTTTCTTTACTTAGGAGTTGAACGGCTTTTTATTAAATACGATAAATACTGAACGTTGTTTGTCTCAGTACTTTAATATTTCAATGTGTAGACGGAATAATGCTACAAATATCTGTTGTGATGAACTGATGTATAACTGTTTTTCTGCAATTTTGAAGAATGGTCTGTGAATTCCCTTCTACGTCACCTGTGAAAAACGCTGATAATATCCCACGTACGGAATGTCAAAGAATAATACAATAGTGACCGGCCGAACACGCGGAGAAGTTAAGGAGCTGCCTACCTGAAAATGATAAAAATCGTTGAAATTCCATTTTTTTCAATTTTATTGAGTCGTTATGCTCTATTTAATTATCTTTTAAAAAATTCAAACCGTTTCTTGCTACGTTTCTTACGTTCCTGTACGTATTTGAGCAAACGTTGGTTGTTTTTTTTTTCCCATGAATGTCAAGATGTCAACTAAGTGAAACTTCAGATCCATTTTGCTGAATTGGGAATTTTCATCACTTTGACAAGTGCACGTCAAACTACATAAAACAAAAACTATAAAAGATAATAACATTATTTTTTTGTGCAGTAGTTTAACTCCTTTAATGCTCTAGTGAATGAACAAACTATTAGTATTAAAGTGTCATTTTAAGAATTTATCTATCGTATGTAACTGAAATGTCAAGAATAAAATTATAAACAAGTATTTGTTCTCAAATAATCAAAAATTGACACTTTAGCTTTTACAGTACCTTTACCATTCTAGTTCACTCACTAGAATAAACAATTGTAATTAATTTAGAAGAAGAATTATCAAAATATATAAATTTTTCTGGTTGTGATGTATGAAGTAAAACCTGCATTTTGGCCAATTATTTATAAACAAATAGATTTTTTAAATTATATGAAATCTAAATGCATAAAGAAATCAAATGTATAAGAAAAAAACATAAAAGACCCAAAATTCTCAATATTTATTTTTCAGATAGACAGATATCTTAAACATGTCTTTCCCAGCATAGATGTTGATGTATTCAAAATATCGATGTTTTAAACATCGATGTTTTGAAACCAATATGTATTGAACATCTCTGTTTTCACTTCGGTGTTTTTACGTTTTCAATGTTTTCTTCGTGGATGAAAGATGCCCATAATCACAATTAAAATAAAAACAAAAACTGATAGTACTAATATTTGTTTGTATTCGATTGAAACGAACGCAGCTTATTCCATCTCCATCGAGCAGATTACCATCCCTTGCTCAGATGATCCTGACGGTCTGGTATTTCCTTCGTCCTTGCAGTATTTTGAACATGGAGAGATGTTGTATAACTTTGTTTTCAGTTAAATTTTAATTATAAATTATTAGGCAATTCCATTGTCAAATTATTTTTTTTTAACACTAATTTAATGTTATAGCCAACTTAAAATCATCGATGTGGATGGTTTTTGGTCGATGTATTATTAACATCGATGTTTTGATTTTGAACATTGATGTTTTTCACCGATATCGCATCACTAGTTCCCAGCCTTTCCAGCACACGCACCTGTGTTGGCCCCGGTAATTAGCACCGTCCGGCCGTTGAGTCGCCTCTTGGACGTGCACACGCCCACTGTGCCCTTGTACCAAATCTTGAAGGTGAGGAGGGCGCAGCCGGCCGCCACCGCCCACCGGTTCAGCACCAGTGCACCCACAGCCCTCCACACGCCCATCCCGGCGCAACTGCTCAGTCACTGGTCCTCTGACGAAACCAGCGGCGTCTCGCCGTGCGAAACAAGACCTCTTTTGCGGCCAAGTGGGCGGTATCAGCGACGCACTGTGTTGACAAGGAGTGCTTCACTGTAACCTTGGCAGCGTGCTGGGAGGCAGAGGGGGGGGGATTTGTTTCCTGGCGAGCCTCGATGCGAACTGTCGCGGAGAGATGGCGCTCGAGTCAACCTCCGAATGAACAAGGGCGGCTGCCAAATTCTGTACCGTGTGTTTTGTAACAGTCCACGAATCTATTTTTGAGTTCTTGGCGCAAAACAAAACTCAATCGATATCTGCAAATAGATTGGGAGACACATTTCACATTTTATGTCATGCTCACCTTCTGTGCGCATGGTGCCTTGTATCAGTATCTCTTCTGATTTTTTTTTCATGGTAGTGATGGCATAATAGGATAACCTACATCATAGTAATGCAATTCGATTGTGCAAACAATTTACAATTAGTCAAACATTAATCTGTCAAACAATATTTTTCTGGATAACTCTTTTTCATTCTCATCACTTACCTTTTCGGGAGGCACAAGACAGAAAAAAATGACTCTTGGATGTAAAATAATTAAGACGTGTAAATGATATTTTGAAACAGTTGTGATCTCATTACAATTGTATAATATTAGCTCTATTTCAATATAAACAGAAAACGCTTATTTGGGAATTTCATCAAAAAATTAGACCATTTCAAGTTATTAGTTTAAAAATGAAAATCGCCTAAATAAAAAATATTTCCGATCAAACTTATTATCAAATTGAAATGTTTACAAAATTAACGGAAGTACTGGAAAATAAAGGCGTCAATGTTTTGCCACACTTTCGGTTCATTATGTAAAAGCACATTCAACAAACGATATTTTTCAAATTTATGTCAGGTAATATTTTTATTTAATTAAATATTTTATAGTTTTTGCAAAACTAATTGAGTTCGTGTAATGTTTTTTTTAATCTTAACTAAAACTTATTTGCAGTGTCTTAAACGTTGTTTGAAACACGTTTTCTTCAAATGATAATGGCTATAGCCACAAGGATAAGTAGTAGTAATTAACAGGAAGATAAAGAACAACAGTTTCCAACAAAATGAGTAGAATTATGTTTTTATTATTTTTCGTAAATTACCTTTTTTAATTTCACAAATATAAACAAGTTTTCATAAGCAAAATCACGAATTATAATTGCTCACAAATTTCAATTTTCGTTAGTGTGAAAAATTCAAATGAAGAGCAAATTTGTAATTTATTTGATGAAAACATATGAAAAACAAATTTTAAATATCGAAAGAGAAGTAATTACCAACTTCACTTATAAGTTTTGTAATCAATCTCATCTTCATTTTATCGATCGGTCACTGGCGTACTCTAGGCCCTCATTCTCAAAATGAATCATTTATCACCACTCACGTTAGATGATGTACGGATCGTAGGCTTCCGCCGACAGTCACGATCTGGGCTGTACGGGGCACGACGCGTAGAAGGCTGAAGTGCCGCCGTTCCACCAACGTAGTGCTATAGCCCTGAAGAAGACCAAGATATATTGGTCGACGCGTCGGCACCTCGGACTTTCTCGGAGCCTTCAACGCGGCGACACCCGGACAGACCAGATCACATAACTCGCGTCTTTTAAAATAGAACTAATGACGTTTAAAAAGTCATCTCTGAGGGGTCGATTTCAACCCCGTTGGGAACCCTTGGAATACACAGATTACTTTTTGCGCATGAAACCTATTTCAACGTTTACTTCTGAGTAAATACTAATAATTTTCAAATCTCTGTGGATGTAAGTATTAAATTCAATTGTTAACAGAGGTAGCAGGCTTTATCTCTCTTTCTTTCGTTGTCTAGTTCGGAGAGATTGGAGACCCGTCACGCGCCACGCAAACGAAGTGTATAGATACCTAGTTTCGCTGGGCGAATAAATGAAGGACATATTTCGAACCCTTCCCTTTACAAATAAGTATAATTAACCAACAATGACCTTTTGATAAATACGTGATTTCCTCCTTGATTTTAGTATTCCTTTCACATAGAATAGGATCCGGGATGTAAGTCAATCGAATAAAAATATTTAAATCGCAAACTCTCAAGGATTTGTTACGCCTTCTCAATGCATTCAAAAGTTACCGTGAGACCATATGGCAATGTTATTTTTCATTGAAAATTTACACTATTTGTTCTTCATTGTAACGACTTCATTGTACGACAGGGATGTTAAGATAAATCTACAAAATTGGTGAGCGCAAACATACATTGATGTGGGTACTAAGACTTAAAAGTTGTGTTTCCACGGTTCATTTTAGTTCATGGTTATAAGCATTGCTCTGTTTGTTATACGTAATTATTGTTATTTTCATAAGAGGGCTCAATAAACACCAAAACGCTGCCGATTTAAGTACTTGTATTTCATATTGCCCTAAACTCAATATTCATTCTTAACTCAATTGAGGAGGTCACATACATTCTCACACGCAATATTCAACAAATAAACTTCACTGAAATGTAAGACTCGTGTGAGACAAAAAGTCGGCTTAATGCTCTTCTTGACGAATCCATATGGAGACAGACGTCTCAAACAGCAAGAACGGGTCGCTCGTCGTCTCGGAGGCCGACCAAATTCTCGCTCTTCTTCCACACTGCTTTGGCCAATGTCCAGTCAAAAGCCTGGGTCGACATGCGGGCCTCCTGCACATACATCCAGTGCACACATTAATGTAGAGAAGTTGCTCTAAGAACGCATGTCTCAAAGCGAAGTCGCCCCCCTTTCACCACGGAGGTACGGGTTTGATTCCCGGATTCCTTGTGAAATTTGTTCCAAAATTTGTTGTTTGTTTTGTTTGGCTGCACAAAGGCAAGACCAACTCCTGTGAAGTTTCCAAAATCCTACCCCTTTTCTAAATTGTTCCTAATTGTGGCCGCTGGGTAGTGACGTAGGTGGCGAGTACGCGGAGATGCTACCTGGCGGTCCTCTGGACAACTAACTGCGACGAGACATGACTTGTCCAAGTAATGGAGTATTACTCCCAAGCACAACGCGCTCAACCCTTTCCAAGGGGTTTGGAAACGCGGTGCGCCAATAAATAAACAACGCAAGAAATAAAAAAAAAGTGGGGAACCTCTTTGACAGGTTGCGAAAAGAATGAACGTCACGCCAGGTGATGATTAGAGCTGGGAATTTTATGCAAGCAATTAGCCCTGATATATGTCACACAAATGTTCAAATATGCTCATAAATTATGTAATAACTCAATAGTGACCCCTGTTTTAGTTGACTTATATACCAAACAATGAAATTTTCACATTTCCGTTTAATTAAATTCTCACACAAACACGTTTCGCCAACTTTCATTCATTGTCATCTTCAAGCTTCTTTTTGGATTACATTACAATTAACAGTCTTTTTAAATGGATTTAATTTAACAGCCTTAACTAATTAAACAACAACCACAACAATGCACCCCATGGTATATGTCTTGCTCATATTAATGAAGGATTTTGAGCGTTTGTTATTGATGTCGGAAGACTGAGATAATTTGGCGCAAGTCAGGTAATGATATTTTTCTAAAAGATTTCATTTTTCTTTACAGTTTGAAGAAGCAATGAACGTAACATTTGAGTGTTATGTAGAATATAGTAGCTAAATGCAACATTGAACTGGATACTTAAGTAAAAGGTAATTTTAAGAAAATAAATACACCGAACAACAACGAAATATTTGAAATGAATTTATGCCTTACTTTACGTGGTGAGACTCGGGCCATCAGACCCACTCTTCCGGCTGACAACATACATTTTGCTACTCTCCTTTCACAAACTAGCGGAGACACGTATTTCTTGGGCGGCGAAACAGGTGATTTGAATTTAGCTCAGAAGCTTCATTTAGGCTTGAGGATCTTGCATGCAGTAAATCTACTTACATGGGGCAGCCGGCATTACTCCTCCTTCGAAGGAAGGCGTACGAAGGATTTTTTCGATTTGAACCCGCGAACGTGGGCATAATAGTCCGATACGCTGACAGTTACACCATCGCCGCCGCCGCAAAGCGCACTGAAGAGAGCATACTGTCGATCGCTGCATGACTTGCTAACTTTTAAAGAGCATTCACTCGCACTATGTCAGTATGTTAGCCATTTTACTAATAAAAGGTTGATATTACTATAAAACGTAAATAATTGGTTATCTTTATTGTTTTAGAAACAAGGTTACATTAGCCACCGACGCGGAAAAAATCGTTCTTCTAAAAGATGCTTTCTAAAATAATTTATTATATTAACAATCACAAAGAATCAAAGAAAGTATCAAGTAAATAATATTTCTCTTAATTGCAAAATCTGCAGCCTAAAAGTAGGGCCTCTTTTACCAGGGCCCGCCCGCATTGCGGGCCCAAACGTTACGTCATGCTTGCTACTTATAATAAATAATAATATAATAAAGACAGTCCATTACCTTGCAGTCGGAATAATAGTGCCCGGATATACCCTCCACTTCTTCTGACGCAGCCAGGTAAATACTTGTCTGCGCTCCCTCCAATGGAGTCTAGATCATGAAAGACCAAATTGCTCACAATATATTTTTTATTTTTAAAGTCATCCCTATCAAGCATTATTACAAAGATTAATCATGTAAAACACGTGTTGTTGTTTTTAATTTCTGTGTTGACTTAAGTTGTTGAGTTCACTTTGTGTTGACTTGAGTATAAAGTGGTTGTGACCAGAACCTAAACCACAATCGGGTCAAACCGGATTATTTTATATTTTTAATTATATATCACTCGTGATCTCCAAACAATAAAAAAAAGTAAAAACCGTGTTTCATTCTATGGTATCCCCCATGCGATCAGTTGAAATAACTTACCTTGCAGAAGATCGAGGTGAAAAGGTTCACCAAGGGTCCTCCACAGAGAGGTAGTGATCGGAAAACGTTTGTTCTTGTTATCCCAGGATGCAGTGAGTTTACAGTCACCCCTGAAGAAGCAACAGCAAAGAGTCACTGCCATAAAGTTAACAGAATTTACAATTCATTTATTCTATGTACATGACCTTACAACAGATCTTGAAAATTAATTCAGTGCTATACGTTTCTCCAACAGGAATTGAACTCTCATTTCGTGATTTGTTTCTTAGACGTTATGTCACTAGCAAATTGCAAATTACTCCAGAAACGGACATTCAATATTCCCAGTGGAAGGGGAAACGAATCGAAGAATTGATGAGAAAGAACTGCAACAAATTATTGTTACTTCTTCCATCCTCTGCTTGCAGTGTAAAATTCGCAATGGGGAAAACATTAAACAATCCCTAGAAAACACTCACAATATCCGATAAATATGTTAAAACCCTCATGAATATTCACTATACTAATGTATGTTAAAATCTGTAAATTTTCGTTGCAATATACAGATTTTTGAATGAATGTATAGAGAGTATCTTAATGTAAGAATGAATAATGTATCGTAAAAATTGTGTATTGTATGTAAATTGTGTGTAAATGTATTTTTTTAGAAATATAAGTATGAAATTCTATGAATTAGGTAGTACAAATATACAGTAATGAGAGGTTGCATTCCCAAATGTTACGTATTACAAATAAAAATGTACAAAACCCTGAAAGGCAGAACTTCATAGCAGGAAGAAAATAAATTTAAAAGAAGAATTAAGAAGTGAAATGAAGACCATCTTCTCTAGCGCAACGCAGTCTGAATGAATTATCAGAACGCGCGTGACTTTTCTTCTCCATTTTTCTTTATTGAATTTATAGATTTTAACATGCTCTCTTGGTTCAGTGGCAAAGTAGCTTGCCTTTCACCACCGAGATTCCGGGTTCCATTCCCGTGGAATTCCCCGCAGAACCTCATATGAAATTTGTTACCACAAACCAGTTTGCATACTTCACAGGGGCTAGTGAAACCCCTCTGAAGTGTCTTAAACCCTACCCCAATTCTAGTTCCTTCCCAATTCTGGCGGCTGAGTAGTGACGCAGGGACGCGTACGCGGCGATGCTACTTGGCGGTCCTCTTGACAGCGGACTGCGACGAGACGTGACATTGAAATATTAATGGAGAATTACTCCCGTGCGGATTGCAAATGGAGGATCACTCTGAAAGCGCAAAGCGCGTAGGCCTTGAAAGCGCAAAGCGCGTAACGGAGCTTGGAGACTCGTTGCGTCAATTAAAGACGTAACAAATAAAAAATGAACATTACATTATGAAAATCATAATAGAGACACTATATATTGAGTTCCCAATGTTCCCTGACGAGGAGAAATTAACACTTTTCTACTAACCTACTCTTTCTTTCTAACCAGTACACGTGAAACACTCAGATACGATTCTTGGCATTCCCATTAATTTGCACCTTGGTAGTTAATTCTCGTTCCTCAATATATCAATTTCATCTGGAGTCTCGTAGAAAGCCATATCGATAGTATTTTATTGCCAATGATACAATTATTTACCCTCTTTTATTTCTTGTTAGATACATTATCAAAGAAACGACACATGTGAATAACTGCATTTTTTCTTAAGTTTTACTTTCACGCCTTACGAATACGTCGTAAGAAGACAAAATTATATAATCGTGCGCCGGAAAACGGTGAATTTTCGCCAGAAAAAGTGTTACAGCCGTGTTATGGCAACTAAAAAGTGAATAAATCCCGTTGCTTAAGTTAGAAAAAAATCCTCCACGTGTGGAGTAGCCAGAATCAATATTTCGTTGGTTTTTGATACCGAAAAATCGACTGACAGCGAAACGCTGCCCACCCTTCTGTCCGTCCGCCTGCGGTCAACGCTAGCGCCTAAACTGTTTTGACGATTTTCTTCAAAATTGGTATTCCGGCTAGTAATCTGAATTAACTCGTGGCTTTGGGAATATCAAACAGTTTGTTACCGTGATTAAATTAATTCCTTTACTTAATTTATTGCAAAATTGACTGGCGGATTGTGTGGCATAACCTATCCAATTTTTCCATTTTTTTTTGTTCTAATGAAACTCCTCTATATTCATACAAGTGGACTAAGACTTTATGCTTTGAAAGAATGAAGCAGACGTTAGTCACTCCAAGTTCTTAGAGCTACAGTACTAGAGCTAGAATTGCTGATACCTCTATTTCCTGCCTGAGTCACGGCTAGCAGAAATGGAAGAACACCCTTGCAAACACCCTTGTCCGAGGCGACAATCGAACACATGATCCTTCAAAGTTTACCAACGCACGACGGTGTTAATACTCTCAGCTACCCACGTTGACAACCCTCAAACGGGGGTACGCTTCTAAAAAGAACTACTTTTTTATAATGCTTAAACAAAATATTATAATAATATAGACGCGAACGCAACGTACCTGTATCCTTGAGACGACGAGCCAACTCTTTCGCTGTGACGACAGAGGCGAGTTTGCTGACGCAGTGCACTTGCCACTTAAAAAGCTGTCTGGCGCGTGTGTATTCAAGATGCTCGGGGTCCATGGAGACAAAGCGGTGTAGCAGGGTTGAGACAAATATCACTCGAGACGGCGCACTCTTTTTCATCAGGTCTATTAGCAACAGAGTCAGTAGGAAAGATCCCAAGTGGTTTACCTGAAAGAATTGCAAATGGTAGTAAAATCAAGGTGTATATTTACCCACCCCACATCACTCCCCCGAAAATGGGTTAGTTAAAAATGAAATATATTTTTTGAACAACAATAAGAAAACAAAAAATTCAAAAACTTTGTTTCAAAATAACATTTATATAACACAATAACAGATAAATTCAATCCTTTCTAAAATAACGACCACTCTATTAATTTGATCTTAAAAATGTTTGCTCACGTTTTTCCTCAATTATACTAGGCTTATCTCGTCTGTGCCAGCCGTTCGCAGTAGTCAAAGCACCGACCTGTATCTCCGGGAACAAGCCATCGATGGTCGGTTTGGTCCCAAAATACAGCCCCCCTGCGTTGTTGACAAGAATGTCCAGACGCTGCTCCTTGGCCAACACCTTGGAGGCGCACGCACGCACAGACTCGAAGGAAGCCAAGTCCAGCGACAGGAGCTCCACCGTCGCCCCGGCAGTGGCGGCCACACGCACGGCCACTGGAACCACACATTACTCTATCACACGATACCCACATTACTCTAAGACTCCAAAAAACCCCCTCCTATGACAGGATCTTCACTGTTGCCACGGTTGTGGCGGACACACGCACGGTCACTGGAACCACACATTATCGCACGACACCCACATAACTCTATTACATAAACCACACATTACTCTCAGGACTCAACGAAGCCAGGTGTAGCCACAGGAGCTCCACCGCCGTCTCGGCTGTGGGGGTTACACGCACGGCCACTGAAACCACACATTATTCTAACATACGAACAACAGATTATTCTTCGACGACAAATTCCTTCAAGACTCCAAAGAATCCAGGTCCAGCGACTCCATGAAGTGATATAATTTTCCGCACTGCACATGTTACGGAGTTCTCTCCACCGATTCGACTCACCTAAGGCCTGCTGCCCTTTCACAGGATCCCTGCAGGCCAACAGCACCCGGGCTCCGCGCCTCGCCAGCTCTTTGGCCGTCTCCAGGCCGATACCTGCAACGCCATTGATTCTCCATGTCAGTGCATAACAGGAAATCCCAGAAAACAAGTGGTACAAAAATCAAATATTTTTTTCTGGCATTACTTGTAAATTAATCAATATTTGATTCAAATTCAAAGTTCAACAAAAATTAGATCTGTGACATTTTAAAATATTCGCATCTCTATTCGTGGGAAAAAATATAAATATTTGAAATCATACTTTGAGTAAGATGTTCTAAACTTCATTTATTTTAACCAGAAAGTTTGCGAAAAATACTTTAATAAAAATTTAAAGACCATAATTTTACAACCGATATATTTATACTTATCGTGATCTGTGCAAAGGAAACAATATCAAAACTATTGCACGTTCGCAATGTTAATTTGTCTGCAATTTTGAAATTCGCCAAAAATAAGACTTGTACATTTTTTAAGGCGTCGAATGTTTTATCAGTTGAAGCATTTACAGAAAATTGATGGAAACGTTTTTGAGGTAAAAACTGTTTAAAAACTGTTTATATCTATCGCAAAATTACACAAACGACTTATTTTTAAATAAAATTAAATAACTTTTTTTAAAGTTCTGTCTGAAAAAATGCATTAAGAAAACATTAAGACTAGTTTAGCTAATTTTCACTTTAAATTCGTTTTAACTGTTCTTTCTTATGGCTAAAGACAATGAATGTAGATAAAAAATATTCAAAAATATTGCAATTATTAAAATTACTCAAATGAACGCGAGGGAGTATTGTTAAAAAGTAGTTATCCTTGAATAGACAATATAATAGTCGTGTAACCAGTTACTGGTATAAGACAATAATTACGCCAAAAGCAAACACAGTTTTCCTTCTTTACGTTATCCGAGAAACATTGTTTGCGAAGAGGAATGACAATCTTGAAACTAGAAGAACTGATATATTTCAATCAGTAATACTGGTTTCGCTTTTCCATTATTCACTTGTCCAAGGCCGTCGTAGAAAAAAACAAATTACGATATTCATTACAGCAATAAACCGTTGAAGATCTAATGAAATTTCTTTAGAATAGTAATAATTTTAGTGGCAAAGGAAATACAAACTACACTGTAAAAACATTCCAATCTTTAACGTGAACCTAAATTGTGTCTTCGTTTAAAATGTTTAGTCTTTCGCTTGCATTTCAAGAAATAGGCACCTTGTGTTGCAAACGGAACATAAATATTGATTCTGATAGTTATCTAACGTATTTCCAATTGAACTTATTATTTGGGTGTACACATGTTGGTTTTGTTTGATGGAATTATCCCAGATGTTTGAACTGGCCAAAACCTCGAATTTCTTAAACATTTGAAATTATCGTTTCAAGAATATTGTTAAAATATAATTTTCCTAATTAAATCACGAAACACTCTTTGAATTGAATTCATTAATAATATTAATTTGCAAATACACGATGTACTAATGTGACTTCGTCACGCAATTTCCAATAGAGGCAATGTTTAACATTACCTCTATTACTACATGTTTAACATTATTAATTTCGCAAACATGGTGATTATTTCCTCGCACATGAAAATATTAATTCCAATTGTCTCTTCTTAGTTATGGCATTTTAACGAAATGTTATCATTAAAATTATCCCTAGCCTATCAAAATTGTGCATCGAAGATAGATGTTGAGGAAGTTACGACAGAAAGATCCTTTCGTAGCATTTTTCTGGCTCACGAGGCGAGACGAAGCTCAGCGAGATTAGCACGTACAGAACGAGACGCACCTGAGTTGCGCCGGTCACCATGCCGCTCAGCCCATCCAACTCCGCGTTGACCTGCAATTTCAGTCGTCTTCTGAACCACACTTTAAACGCAATTGGCTGCCACCGACCACGAAAGGCGCCGCCCTCCACTCACACCCCGACCGATCTCCACAACCCCCATCGAAGCGCCTCTTCAGAACGCAGCTCGCAGAGTTCCTCGTGCGTCGACGCTCCGCAACTGCTTGCGGCGGGCGGAGTCCAGCGGAAAGCTGCTTCGGTAGCGGCGGCATAACAAACTGCCAGCCAAGGGTGAATTTCCCATAGGGGTCACTCAATGCGTGTTTCCGCGGTATTCGACGCGTTCACGCAAAAAGCTGCTTGGTTGTATTTCGAGATCAGCAAATACTGAAAAACAAATCATTTAAAAAATTCATGGCAAGGTCAGTTAAATGTATGGTACTCTGCATTGTTTCCAATTATAATTAAAAATTACAATTAACCCATGTTTACTAACCGAGAAAAACAGAAGTTGAATGTTTTTCTTACTCGCCGCGCGGAGCATTCGTTAAGAAACTTTTTTTTCTTTTTCTATTTCGTAATCCAAGTGTTTGATATAATAACGGGTTGTCCTACCGTACTTGATACTTTGAATTGAATTTTTTAAAAAATGAATTTATAACGTTAATTGTTCCAATATAAACAGTGCTTATGATTATAATTTGTCTTTTCTCGCTACGTCACTGTGTGTTTAAATTCCGTTTTCTTTAAGCTTCAAGGTTTCGGCAATATTTTGGGCCGCTCAGAGATATAATAACAATAACTAGAAGAGATATATTCGAGTTGTGCAATTGGTTAACCCGGTGTAATCGTTACGTAAGAAAATACACTATTATAATACAATTTGTGTACACCAAACGCAGGACAACTTGTATTTAAATTGTTATTTAGAGGCCTGTAGTGAACCAAAAATAAAAAAATAACGTGGGACTGTAAATATACTGATTTTATTGTTACCATACCCTGAACGATTCTCTGCATTATATTTTTAATATGAGGTCAAAATAAACAAATAACTGATTGTTATAAGTCCCAATAATCTAACGTTTACGAAGCGCAGATATTGGGGGGGGGTGCGGGTTTGTGTTGTAGAAGGTACTGAATTAACCGAATATTGACCCAAGAGGTGTTCACGTCCAGAACTCAGTGACGAGCGTATGTGCGGTGGTGAGAGACAAAATAATTTGAATGTAATATAACCAGGTAAAACAGTCGTGCCGGAGTAGGCGCCGATTAACGAAGGATTTAAATGATCGAGTTTGACACGACTAATGATAGAATGGCCGGAGGAGAGTATAGTGGGTAACTTGCCATGAAGATTGCATGCTGTCAGCTGGCGCGAAGCAGTGGTCGACGCTCGGCATATCGACCGCGTGTGGGGTGGGGGGGGGGCGTCTCTTCAAAAGAAGACAGGTTGAGAGAATTTTACAAGGTCCAAAGTATTACAAAAGGACAAGTTTGGAGAACATAACAGGGGCAAGTTATGAACTTGTGTATGTTTTTAAATATTTAAAAAGCAAGCGTTTACAACAAACAAGTTTTGTGTAAGAGTTCTGTTAACATTATATATAATAATCATAAAACTAGCTGACCGCCTATCGATTATTATCGCACACAAGAGAACATAGGTGGTTGTTTGGGTTGGTTGTTGTAGTGATTTCGGGCTCGTCAACCTACTGAAGATCCGTTAGTCCGTAAGTATAATGATGTTTCCGCAGGTGGAAGTGTTGGTATCTTGCTCTCGCTGTGAAGGATGTCGCGGCGAGCCCGTGTGGGGATGATCGCAGCCAAGGCCAGGTATCTCTCACCAAGAATAAGGCATCGCCGTCGTACCCGGGACAAGCTTTTAGCTCCCGACCGGTTTTCGCGGCATGGACTCCTGGTAAGTGAAGCAGCGATCATGTAGTATAGTAAGGGTCCCAGAGTGCGGAGTGTGTAAAGGGTGAGGGTGTGAAGGATAGAACCCGGTGTGGGGCCCTTGTTATCTCCGCATGTGGATGTCATACGAACACGGCAACAGGCGTCAATACGAGCTTAGCACACGTCAATCGTGCCGGACGCCACTCATGATACCTCGAACAGCAGATTGCTACTGTGACATTGCGAGTGTTGTTTAACTAGTGTGCATACTACAGGCGGTGTGAATCTGCCATGCCCACTCCCAGACTCGATCGAGAGCACTCATGATCTGTGCACTAGCCCTTCGGGTGAACGAGAGTAGTTCAAAAAGAAGATAGATCTCCCCAGTATACTCTTTCATGTCATTCATTCTAATTATTGATTTCTAAAATAGAATAAGTTAATGCAACGACAAGCAATCTGTACAATACAACTTTCATTTAAAAAATAGAATAAATGCGAAATTTGGTATGAGTAGAAATTCTTTGGCATCAAAACGATATATATGAAATATTTAATCCATTGAAGGTGTTAAAACCAAGTGTTTAACTATCTAAATATTGCGGTCCTTGAATCAAAATAATCTGAATTAATTGATAATAACATGTATATGTCTTATATTTCTTATGGTTATAATTTATAAAAGCATCTCTGGTGTAAAGTATACTAGTACGTCACTCACATGCTTATATGCTATTAAGGGTATATTGCCTTAATTGTCATAATTAGTTAGACCCATCAGAAATTTTTGAATACAGGTACTAGGCTAAAAGATTGCGACTGGTTTCCACATCAAAATGGAGCTGGAATGACTGAAATGTAAATATCCAAAATCATAACATAATATACTAATAAATCTCAACACTCAATGGTCAAATATATATAAGGTTTAATAAAAGTCATCTTCAAGCATTTTACATAATTTTATGTGTTAGTGTCCGAGACAAGTATATTCACCTCCCGCCACGTGGGTTCTGGTTTGATTTCCAAGTGGCACTTCGATGCTTTTTATATTAGTGATGGTATTGAGACAGCTGACGGTAATGTAATCAATATAAAAACAAAATAACTTGTTTCGAAAATATGGTGGACGTAACTGCAGCTTTTGCAACAAACATTATTGTTTGGTCACCTTTTACACAAATATTATTTTATTTCGAAAATTCACTACCGCTGGTTATTTGTAATAATGAACGGGATTCGGTAGTCCTAAAAGCGGTTGGAGATTCAACACAAACAGAGATACACAGGGCCTTTCATCCAGAACTGCATTTGATTAAAAAAACGTCCATCAAAAGATAAACAAATTCTCCAAACCATCAATGAAACAATGCATTCCATGCGTCAATAATCAGATTCACTTGTGAACTTCCATAACTCGCGAAATGGAAAAATAAATTTATCGTCGAGGCACCGAAGACAGAAAAATGGTATTCCTTCAGATCCACTCACAGTTGTGATCCGAAGGCCCTATGAAGCCTGGTGGAAGCATAGAGCAAAAGTATATGCAGTAATACAGCAAAGAGAGATATGGCGCAGGTCTGGGCATGGGTTTTTTCTAGTGCATGGTAGATCCACCAGAAGCGTTCGTTAGGTGCTCTTTAGTTTTTCAAAGTGATTT